AATTAAATATTTGTTTCTATTGCACTTCTAACTAACACTTAGTTTTATGATAATGGAATTATTATTATTATTGTTATTATTATCATTTATTAGCTTGTTTGTTTACTTTTCTTCATAAATTGCCTGTAACTTATTTTTGACATAATGTGTTTGTCTAATGTTTGTATAATTTACACGTAATTACGTTCATCTACAATGTGCTAAGTCTGTAATTGGCCTTGTGGCTGTTGACTTGGCACATAAATAATAAAGAATTGAATTGAATTGAATTGAATTATTATTTCTCTATTCGTGCTAGCTTTGTAATTGGCCTCTGTGCTGTTAAGTTTGCACGTAAATAAACACGAATTGAATTGAATTAATGCTACTAATTGTAGTAGTTGTTGCATTTCGCAATTGGAAATAAACTACGAAAATAATGAATAACATACAAATCAATCACACACTTTTCTCTATTTTGGTACGTAAAGTCGCGAGTTGAAATACAATAGTAAAATTGTATTCATGTTGTTCCTCAGTGCATTAGCACTGAAACACTAGAAGTCAGTATGTAGCATCACTTCCGGGGCAACGAATTGTACACTCTTAGCTATGTGCTAAATGAAGTTCTCCTATTGTAAGGCAATTGCATCTGAGCAGGACGTGCCTTGACTGTGAAACTTTGTGGCAATTTGCTGCTGTTGGATTATAAACTCAAACTGAGTTGCTGCTGTTGGTTGTAGTCGCGTTGTCTCTAGCAGGAAGACTAGAAATTTCTAATGGATACATTTACCTTGATTCAAGGAGGAGGCCTCCGAGGTGTAGTAAATTATTCAAGTGGATTTGGGGTTTCCATGTCGACGACGATTGAGGTTATGGCAACATGTAGTCTGCCATCTGACTACCAGCATCTCGGAAGAACATAGAGCCTCCTTTTTCAGAGAACATCCTATTATTTCCTTGTTTGAGAATCATGGGTGTGTGATAGTTAGGCTAAATCCAAATCATTATTAGCGCAATGTATTATCGGTGTACGTGCATATGTCATGGGCATACGCCGAAACTCGTTCAACCGCGAACGGACCGGGAACATTGTGAAATGCCGACTCATGTTGTCATATCTGAATGCTGTTGGGAAAGGAACGATGTACACACTTATCCGATAAAGCCCAATTTACTGGGTTTGGCTGGGAAGAATACGGTCGTCTGTGTTTTTATACCATACTGTTGAATGAAAGTCCGACGTTTCAGTGTCGCAAGCAACAGACGCAAGAAGCCAGGGATAAGAGTCTGAGTCTGAGTCACATTGCAACTGACGGTCAGTCAGTCTGTCAGTCTTGGTGTCGAGCCCCAGCTGGGGCTCATGACCAGATATTTCTTTTGACTGAAAGTTACTGTCTTGTCCATGTGTAGCGCCCTCTCTGACGAGAGGTCGGGTCTGTCATTTGNTTATGATTTTAAAGGACTTCATTTTAACATATTACGCAACTTATGTTTATTTTTAAGTAAAAGAAAACATTTGACAGTTGATGAAAGAATTAATTTAAATGCTTTGATGCACGTATTTTAGTGCTACAACTGAAGAACGTTGTTTAAAATCCTATGCTTACAATTATAGATATATAATTTTCACAATCTGATCAAATTAAGTTGCGCTATTCCATATATGCTATGAGCGTTCACAGTCGGGTCATTTTAACAACCTTACAGACATCTTAGTGTTTTAAAGGCATATCTGGCAGTAACTGGTTCCTCGATGTGCCCGCAACATATATGTATATATGTATTCTCATATAATGTCCCCCCATTTTTCTTCTTTGCGTGGTTTCAGACGAGGAGAAGTTGCGCGGCGCGCAAACAGCGCTTCGGGTAGCTGAGCCAGTGGTGAGTGCAGTTGTCCACAAGTAAGCAGATGAACTGCAACACGTATTACAGTAAATAAGTCGCGCTTCCTAACACACTGCCATGCAGCCGTACTATAGGCATTAGCTCTTAAATTGTAGCTAATGAATCAGTTCAGGCAAGAACTTATTTCAATAACATTGTAACCAGAAATTGTATAATTAAGAAATATTATGTGGAAATGTAAGAACATAAACTCCCTCAAAACTTCTGTATCACAGCGCTTCTATAGCGAAATGGGGGCACACATTGAAACATCTAAATCTAAGTTCGCGGATTGCAGGAGATCACACACACACACACACACACACACACATATATATATATATACACGCTTAAGTAATCACAAGCAAACAAATAAGAGTAGCAGGACAAGAGAAGCAAATGATGGAGAGTATCTTCCAAGACTGTCTGGGCAACTGATCAACAAAGAGCACTCATTCGTCGGTCTGCGTTACGGAGATAGCTATGGAGAACTTAAAAGTAACTGTGGGTTATATACCTTCTTCCGTGACTAATTCTGTGTGTCGTACCGTGTCACGAAATTTGGTACGTGTCATGCGCAGGTGGCCAGGTCGCTGGGATGAGCCAGAGGGCAGCAGGATGACAGAGACCCGGGAGTGTCCGCTCGCCAACGAGAAACATTTGCTGTCCTTGGAGATGAACCAGTGTGGCAGCAGTGCAGACGCAAATGTTGCGACGGCTGGGGCATCGGGCTCCAAGGGCAAGTCAGGGTCAGGCAAAGCGGAGGATCTCCCGGAACGAGGAACTTGGAGCGGAAAGTTGGACTTCATCCTGTCGGTTGTTGGTCTGGCCATCGGTCTGGGCAATGTATGGCGTTTCCCATACCTCTGCTACAAGAATGGAGGAGGAGCCTTCCTGATCCCCTACTTCCTGACCCTCATTTTGGCTGGAATCCCCATGTTCTTCATGGAACTTGCCCTCGGACAGATGCTGACCATTGGTGGTCTGGGTGTGTTCCGCATCGCGCCCATCTTCAAAGGTAAGTCTATTTTTAAAGACGAGTGTCAGTGGTCTTCGGTAGGGAACAGTGGAGGTTGCTTCTTTCGCAGAACCCCTGGAAATTATGTGATGTAGTGTGTGTTACACGCAGACCCAAAATGTACCTAAACATGTTAGTCACCCTTATGAGCCACTGTGTTATCAGTATTAATCTTCTTTATTGCAGTTACTTGCAAATTATGTACAAGTATTCCTTACTTTCCTTCGACTTCCAGTAGAAATTTCCTTTGTCTTTGGGTCAAAGGTGTTAGAATTTGCCGAACTTAAAAGCATGACAGCATCTGTTGCAAGCGAGATTTGTTTCACTGCAATGGAAATTTGATATGTTGTTTTCACAGGGACCTGCTGTCACAATAATTAGGGTGACCTTGAGATGGAGGAAGCAGGTTCCTGCGAAACGTCGGTAACAACCTAAGAGAACAGACGGTGCCGTAACAAAGATGACCGCATTCCACAATTTGTATAATTATGTTTGTTTTGATACAAGTCCCATTACAATGTATCGTAACTCTTTTCTGATCTTAGGTATTCTCCATCCTTCAAGTCATTGAACATGAGTAAGTTAGGCCGCACATCGGAATGCGTCAAAAATTGTAACAGTCAAGACACGATGTCTGATACATGACGCAAAGAAAGGAGCACAGTTGAAACGAATGTGATTATGAAAACAGCCGCACACCGGTCTGAGTCATGATGCTAACGTCAGCTTCATGCTGACGAATCACGAATGAAGGAAGACTGCTTCTTTTATCTCGTGTCTTGATGCTTGTCTTGACGCAGTTTGTGTGCGGTCGGAAGAAAGTCCCTGTGCGAGGACCTGAGTTTCCAGCCGTAGCTGCTGCGAGTTTGGAGCAACCATCCCAGTTTGTGATTCCAGTTTACTGACGCTTGTAGGAATTTCAGACGCCATTACGCAGTTTTGATCCATACGTCTCAATGTCAATTCTGAATCCTAGTAATCATGAATGAAGGAAATTTATTTAATTTCTTGTTGCACATATTATATAGCCATGAAGTTGTGTGGGGGAGTGAAGGTATAGAGCCACCTTTCTTAACCTCAGCACTAGATGGAGGTGAATGGTCAGCTTTACGCCCTGGCCGCTTTACCTCCAAGGAAAGAGCCCCCGGTATTCATTGTGCAGGAGACTGGGTGAGCCATGGAGCCCGTCTGGACGCTGCGGAATAAAGACAAACTTGCCTCTGCCGGGAATGGAACCCCGGCCGCCCAGCACATAACCCGCCGCTGTACCGGCTGAGCTGTCTGGCCTCCCTCCAAATTATGTCGACGATTTTAATTTAACCCAATATTTCATTAAAAATCGGTCTGAAAGTAACAACTTATGTGTGGCCTTCGCCATTGAAACCAACATAGTTTCATTTTAGCAACAGACAAGTACATGTCACTGTACAGAGAGAATACGTTAAGGAATTGCGGCCCAAATCACGTCCTGAAATATTTCAACTTCATCACATTTTCGTAAATGTTATATTGTAGTTACTTTCAATTCACGCAGACAGAAACAAATTAAAATACTGAAAGAAACGGCATTAGGTTCGCCGTGTGGCTGGAGACAGGAAGTGGCGACTGTTAACAGCTGAATTCTCTCCTTCTCAGTTGTACCGGAAATATCAGGAAACAGATGAAACACGCATTGCTTCATTTCTGACGACTTCAACTTCAAAAAGGTTTTGTCAACTGTATTATCAGGTTTAGTGTCTTAATGCGCGGCCGTTTGTGGTGTAATAACATTTAATTCATAGTTGATTCATTTTGATGATCTCTTACTCGAACCATAATCATGTGCTGGCATTCAGATTTGTCAGGATTTTAAATCTCCATGTTAATGAAAGGAATCCAATTCAAGCGAATATTAACGAAGGCTGGTTAAATTGGTCCTTTGAATATAAACTTATGCTTGAACTTCTGAAAGGGAAGAAGAAAGTAGGCTTACATGAGCCTCTTACTTGTATGTAAGGAATGTCCAACTGATTTGCAAAATTTTCATTTCAGGACAACGATCATATAGGAAATATAGTGGGGAGAACTAGGGTAAACATCATCATAACAATATTGTGACAGAAATAACGAACATATTTATTTCACGTTTCCTTCTGCTCTGGCGACAACTCCGTACCTCTATATAGAGCGCATACAAGTTCGAGAGATCCTTTCTCCTATAAACAAATATCAATCACTATTCAAAATGAATTACAGATCCTTTAACTGGCGTCTTAAAAATAAGCAGCCTTTTGTGCCATCGGAATGAGCAGCGAAAAAGAACAAATCAACATTGCAATCTAAAAATTCGTATTCATTTTGGGTAAGAGAACGTTAATACATCAAATTTTTCTTTTTCTAAAATGCAGTTTGAAATAAAGAAAAATTGGCTTCTATTTTCAACTCTACTAACAGCTACTTCTCTGTTGTGTGACACAGAGAAATTTAAGAAAGGCGCTACTTGTAGCTCTGGGCCTGCCTACCGTTCCAAGTGCTCCCATTTTGCTGCTTGACAGAACAGCTGAAGTCGCGTTAAGCTGGATGATCTGTTTGCGCAGGCATTGGCTACGCGGCCGCAGTCATGTCTTGCTGGATGAACGTGTACTACATCGTGATCCTCGCCTGGGCCATCTTCTACTTCTTCATGTCGCTGAGATCAGGTAATTCCCCAACTCCGCAGTAAAAGTCCTCCCTCGTCTTGTAAAGATGACCAAAAAGGCCCAAAGTTCTATGAATTCTGAAGGTTCAGCACCAGAATCCGTTGCTCAACTCTCTCCTGAACCATGTTATTCCAATTTTGTATCCAATTAACAATTCACATATTAATCAATAAATGCTAATAACATAGTTTCTGAAATTTATACGCATCTATTTCTGCATTCATTTTATTCTGCTCTAAGATCAAATTTGATTTTTCTTCCATATATACGTTGTCTCCCAAGGGAAGCTTTACACGAGGTTTTATAACTGAAGCCCTGCTCTCATTTTTTGCTTTCTCCATAAATTCTGTCTCTCTCGTACATATCGCCCTCCCTATTAGAATTGTTCACTACACTAGCTGATATATACAAATTAAGAAGCACTTCCTGTAGCCTCTCTTGTCAGGGTCAATCTACCTTACAAACCAGGGCACATCAGCCATTGTGCACTCAAACTTACGGAAGAGTTTCCTGTGCAAATATGTCTGCATTTACGACCGGTATATGGACACTGCAGGTACTCGTATGTTGGAAATAGGATCTGGCAACTTTCTAAGGATGGCGCAAAGGTTTGTATCGCTAACTGTCCACGACGCTTCCTCATGCCCGCAGTAGATGGCTTGTGTTCACATGCGGCTTGTCTTGCAGACGTGCCGTGGAGGACATGCAACAACTACTGGAACACCCGCAACTGTGTGAACGCATACGAACGGGGCAACCTCACATGCTGGGACGAGTCCTACAATAACACAGTATACAACAAGGTGTGCTCTGTCAACCAGTATAACATCTCCGTTAAGGAACTCACTGATCCCGTCAAAGAGTTCTGGGAGTAAGTCACATTATAAATGAAGTAATATATTGCCCACTGACAATGCTGAAGATGCTACATATAACATCCCGTTGCATTGAGACATTATTCTTATTATTAAAGTACAGATGAAAAAGCAGTTAATAATACACTGCAGTACGATAGCCGCAAGAGAGTGTAACGTCATCATTCTAGTCATGAGATAGAACTAAACATTGACGTGCATGGGGGCACGGGGCACAAGTGAACAGTGCAGTGGTCTCCCCAAAAGTAAAAGGAAGAATCACCTGATGATGGCCCATGTGCGGCCCAAACATGTCATAAATTAGAAGAAATTACATTTAAAACTAGAGACATTTCAGAAATTTTGATAATCACTTTTAATATATAAATTACACTTTTAGTGCCCTATTGACATTTTAATGACTTTAACATCATAAAATATTAAAATACATTTTTAGTGAGTGACATTCTTGATGTCTTTTATATTGTTGCATTATTGACGTGTACTTTAGTAATAAGAACTAAATATAACAGTTGTAAAATAATATTTTCATTGTTCATAAATTCTATATATTTTGATTATAACTTGAATCTTTGAACTTCAAAACAAAGGAACACAGCGTTTAGGTACAAAACTTGCACAGGCCGTGAGCCTCAGTGGTCAGTCCTCTGTGATATATCCTTGAAATTTAATCTCTTACCTTTAAAGGTATGCCAAATAATGAAACATCTGTGAACTATTAATTCTTGCACAGGTTAGCCTTCCGGCTAGACATGCGCATACTGCATTTGTAATTATACATCAGTGTTTGAACTCCTCCACTCCCCACAGTGGTATCTGTGTATGTTATTACTTCATAACATTTGCAGCAATGAGGAGAGATAGAGTGAGGTATGATACGGTGAGGAGAATGCGTGAGTAGTCGGTCATGACCAGGGCCCGGATTTAATGACATGAAAATATAAAAAATGACCTATAAAATGACCGAAAAAATCCAGAAAAATGACCTAAAATATGACCCAAATATGCAATATGCAGGGCCCGGATTTTGATGACATGAAAATATTTAAAGAATGACCGAAAAAATCCAGAAAAATGACCTAAAGGAGAAAAGAAAGAACACTTCGCTTCCACGTTTTTCACATTTCAGAAAATATATGAAGAAAAATTCCCTAAAATGGCAAAAAATGACAAGAAATACCCTGAAAAGTCCCAAAAAATTACCCCCAAAATGAAAAAATTACCTTAAATCTAAAAATGTCAAAAAATGACAAAAAATTACGTATAAAATTTACATTTCTGTAACCAGCAGCTCATATCCGAGATTTATATATTTAAGANATGAAGAAAAATTCCCTAAAATGGCAAAAAATGACAAGAAATACCCTGAAAAGTCCAAAAAATTACCCCCAAAATGAAAAAATTACCTTAAATCTAAAAATGTCAAAAAATGACAAAAAATTACGTATAAAATTTACATTTCTGTAACCAGCAGCTCATATCCGAGATTTATATATTTAAGAGCATCGCATAGGATACAAGGAAAAAAAGATGACATGTCATCAAAATCCGGGCCCTGGTCATGATATATTTGACGAAAATGTAGTCGCCTCGAGAAACTGGGGAAACAACAGTAAACCGGTCAAGGTGTCCAGTCCGGATTTGGGATTTCAAGTTGGGTACCTTCCGACCACTTCTCAGTCACCTTATTTACAAGATAATATTTACTATACCAATCAGAAAGCATAGTATGATAACAACAGAAATAACTGAGAGCTGCACTGTGTATGCGCAGGCGCCGAACTCTGCAGATCTCTGAAGGTGTGGAACATGTGGGCGGCATCCGCTGGGAGCTGGCTGGCACGTTGCTCCTCGTCTGGATCCTCTGCTATTTCTGCATATGGAAAGGCGTCAAATGGACAGGCAAAGTGAGTCAAGTGATTCGACTTATTGTTTTGCAGCTTTGGGAGCATTTGGAACTTTTGAGCACAAAACAATATTCTACAAAAATTACGTATCTTACTCCAATACAGTACAAAACGTCACACTACCAGCTGCAACGATTAAACAGACATACTTATCATACTCGTATAAAATGTTATTCTCTTCAATTTTAGCGAATCGTATCACAAAAATGTGCCCATACACTTTAAGGTAGGCCACACACCGGCATGACATGTAACAGTCAAGACACGATATCTGCGACATGACGCAAAGAAAGAGCACAGTTGAAACGAATGAGATTACGAAAACCGCCGCACACCGGTCTGAGTCATGACGCATGCCGGTGTGCGGCCTACCTAATTGCTCAGTGTAGGGACTGCATGCAGACACTAGTCTCCATCTCGCTGTAACCTATCCGAAGAGAACATGAAAGCGGGGGCACTGCAGAGTTTCGGAATATGTGGACTTATATCTCCATTATCACATGGAGTATAAATATGTGGCTTCGGGAGTAATTAAGCACGGGGAAACTTCAACCTCCACGATAACAAAATGACTTAGGACGCTACTTGTTTCATATCGCCTACAGATCCTTGAGCTCTCGTGTTAGCATTGCTAGTGGCAGGAAATTGAGGAACGGGTCTCAAACTACAAAACTTTCAATTTAAATTTAGTTTAAAACGTTCACTTGCTTACATATGGTTTAAAATGACACAAGGACATTGTGCACTTTTCTGTTTGCTTAGGAAAGCAGGCTAGAAATAAATTTGTTAACGATAAGGCTACGAATTTTCCCAAATCATAAAAACATATTTCATTTTATGGAAGATGAACAGTGAGGTCCTGATTTCTTACGTGGCAGGTGGTGTATTTTACGGCCTTGTTTCCGTACGTCCTGCTGACTGTACTGCTCATACGTGGCATCACACTTCCCGGAGCGGCTGAAGGAATCCGCTTCTACATCAGCCCCAACCTCTCCAAGCTCAGGGAGTCAGAGGTAAGCAAATGTCCATTTTAATAATATTACACAAATAAATAAAAGGCAATTTCTACACCACCATGTTTATGTGCGATATCTGTTCGCTGGAGCTCACAGTGGACGCGGGTCTGTGTGGAAAGTTTAATGTTCACTGGACTCTGTGTTGGTATTTACCATAAATGACCAAAACAATTGAAAGATGAAATTGTTAAAATTGCCCTAATTAAGCCATGTAACAGTGAAGACATCCTCGTATAATTTGATGATACAGTCTTCTTCTTAAATTTAATAATTTTAAACATGCTGGATACGAAACGTGATATTCTGCCCCCACTTCGTGTGTCTGTAAAATGTAAACACAGTGCTTACAGCTGTAAGTCGGATTCCTTTTCGAAATGCATTCATGAATTCCGAGAGACATTGCAACCTGTCCCCCAGTTTTTATTTTCCTTGGCACTACAGCCCCAGCGGGCCTAGGCCTGTCTCCATGAACTTCTCCGTTCACTTCGGTTTTTCTAGATCTTACACATTCGGTAGGACTCCTTGGGCGGGTGATCAGCCTCTGCCTGTACACAAACACAGAAAATCGCACACACACACAAACTAAACATCCATGCCCTGAGTGGAATTCGAACCCACGATCCCGGTTTCCAAGCGAGCGATGACAGTACATGCCTCAGACCGCTCGGCTACCGTGACCGGCTGTCCCTCATTTTACCCACTGCAAATTCTCTTCGTCTGTCCTTCAAACGTTTCTACAGTAAACACTGGACTTCATAACCTTCTCTTCTTTCACACTTTCCCATTTTACTATTCCACATTATGTCAGAAGGAATTTGCTACTCTAAGCATGTACGAAAATATATAAGAATTAGCAAATAAGCAGGAGAGTAAGTGTATTGACGTCTTTTGCTTCCGCTCTTTCTACAAGATGCATCCCTTTCAGAGAAAGTTGCTTTCCATCACACAATATTACGGATAATGCCACTTCCTTTTAGTTTATTCAGAAGTTACATTCATTATACAGTGGTGACAGTGATTCTCATGATATGATGCAAAAATTACACATTTCAAGTATAAAATTAATTTCACCTGCGAATCTCCTGATCCCCGTTTCCTGCTCAGCGCTGCTGCTTCTCAAAAAGTTCGTCGCGTATTCTTAGACTTCGCATATTCGTGGCCGATGTAACCGCAACCTCAACTCAGAAAGCGGGTAATTCATGGCATTATAATTTTCTGAAAAGAAAGTAGGCCCTTATTGTGGCAAAGGTTGAGAATAAGAACAATGCTGATCCTCGCATGTAACAAATATTATGCGCACAAAACAAAGTGTAAACAAAAACGCGTTTATGTAAGTTTTGAGGTTTTCACGGCGATGACAATGAAGAAAGTCGTCTTCTGGGTTTAGGCACCGTGTATTCTTCGTTTTGGCCGACGTTTCGGAGGAACGTAGCGCCTCCATCTTCAGAGCAGTTGAATGGCTTGGAATGC